ATCGCATCGCTTTAGTAACTGAAAAGATACTGGAAACTCCCAAAAATTTCTTATTAAAGTGAGGTTTTCCTCATTTAAAGCCGAAGATTTTCGCTTTTGAGTGATATTCTGGGCAGGCTTGAGAAATTTTTGTTGTTTTCTTGACAATTTTTTTCATCCGTCTATCTATACCAAAGGCCAATCTCTTCCTCTTAGTAACTTAAAACATCCTGGAAACGCCCAGCAATTTCCTAATGAAGTGACTTTTTCCTAACTTAAAACGACCGATTTTCTCTTTTGAGTGGTGCTGTGGGCAGCATTCAGGAATTTTTGGTTCGTCCTTGGCAAAACTCCTGTTTACGAACGGTCATTCGACTCTCCTCAGTAACTGGAAAAATCATGGAAACTTCCAGAAGGTTCCTATAAAAGCGAGGTTTTCAAAAAAAGTGAGCCCGGGTCAGTAAGAGTGACAATACATGTTTTATCGTCCAAAATTCTCTGCTATCGCCAACAAAACACATAACTTTTTGGCTTCAATCGCATCGCTAGCAACCGGAATGCTCAACATCCTGCACAAATTAATTAAAATGTAAGGATAACGAATCGCTTCTGCGGTTGACAAAATCCTTAGATAATTTGCTTGGCTAATAATAATTCAATAACTTGATCTGCTTATGGCTGGCTCGTCTTAAGCTTAGAGCTTGCTCTTTCAGAACGTCGCTAATCTGAAACTCCTGGGCTATTTTCGGAATTTCAGTGTAGTTTCCAAAAAGCTTCTTAGGTTATAATGTTGTGCTTAATTGCAATTAGTGCGTTCAAGCCCCTCTGACTAAAGCAACTCATAACTAAGATGCAATGAACAATGCATTTCATGGCATTTGGTATCCATTTTAATTAAGCGCTGCTTACAAGTTGGTGATTACCGGTAATATGCCAGTTAGTACTTATGCATAAATGTTATAGATCTTTATTTTGAATTCAAAGTATAATAATGTATAGGGTGTTCCATTTAAAATAAGAAAGTCTGGCGGTCTGCTGGTCTCAAAATTAGCGAATTTCTTAAATAAATTTGGAACTTGGCGGAGAAAACACCCTGTATGTGGCTCAATTCGGTCATTTTGACATTTACTCTAAGACACCTCAAATCTGGTTCTCTAACTGAAACCCATCTAAAACGTCATGAACCGTCCAGAATATCCCGAAGAAATCCAAGTGGGATGTTTGGGTATTTTGAATATTCGCTGACCCAAAATAGACTATTTGAAAATGCTTTTGATAATTAAT